ATTGCATGATAATTTTGGTTCCAGAGAATTGCTATGGGTGACTGTAAAAGTAGAGGAGTACCTTTCCCCCACTCCCCCCCAGAAAAAACCATCCTAAAACGTAGGTAAAACTACCAGCAGAAACTTTAGGATAGTATATAACTGTTATATCCAAGCATCCAAGATACCCTGAAATTATGTGACTCAAATTGCAGATTGTATTTCTTAGGCCTATTACATCTAAAGCTGATGAGAGCTTGTGGTAATTGTTTTATCTTGCACAAATGCTGCTGCAGTTTATTGCTTGGCTTAAATTACGCGGTTTTATCATATAATTTTTTCACTGCAGAAATAAGTCTGATAGATTTTATTATTTACAAATAATTGTAGAGGGTGCACTTAACTGTTGCTGATCAATATGTTTTTCATAAAGTAAAATTTCTGGGTTCCAAATTATTTGGAGTCTCTGTGGAAATAGTCTGCCTGTTTCAGGAATTCAGTGTGCTGAATCTTGCTCAGCAAGCACCAAGAAGTACTTCTGCTTTTCAATTTCGCTATATGTACCCTGATGCTGAGTTGAACTCTCTTGACTCATGACTGTATGTCAGATGTAGGACTAGTAATTAAGTGTGCGTTATATGTGGCACTAGCAGCACGTTGTATACTTTCTTTCTTTAATAAGTTTCTGACAATTCAGTGAAGCTAAATGCAACAGTCTTAATAAAACCATATGTGTTTTATGGATGTGATTTCCACCTTGGTATTCTGTTTGGCAAAAATGGATGAAATGTTATTTCGTGTGGTGGTGTGGGGTTTTTTTCCTGTTCCTGAAATTATTGACCAATGATTGTGTTTGTGTATTTAGCTGCTTCTTTTGTCTCTGAATCATACTGTATTTTATTTACTTGGGATTGACAGCTGTATGCCCCCATAGTCAGTGCGATCTATGTCAGTATCGGTGAAGAAAAGGTGGAGAGTTATCTGGTAACTGAAGAGGCTGCTGATCTTCTGGATTAGTATGTGAAATGCTCCAGAAAGATAAGCCAGATGCTCAAATTATGTAATGCTTTGAGCAGGAAGCCACTGAATTGTGTGTAGAGTGTGTCACCAGCAACAGACTGATGTCCCTGGCAAGGCTCCACTCCAGGAAGGAGCTGAGGTTTCTCAAAGACTTCAAATGAGAATGAACGATTTGACAGCGTGGACGTTGCTAGAACAGCTCGCGCCATTGAAGGCAGGAGCTGGCAGCGCCCAGCCTTGCTGTGTGCCATTAGGAGGCAGGGGGCTGACATGGGTTTGGTGAGTGTGGTTTCCTGCCCACAAGTGTGTACCAGCTGGCACCATCTTATCACAGACCTAGTGTTAGAGCGACAGTCTTTTTTTGTTTGTTTGTTTGGTTGGTTTTTTTTGTGGGTTTTTTTTTTTGTTTGTTTCCAGGTTTTTTTGTTTTGTTTGTTGATGTTTCTGTGGGGTGTTTTTTGGGTTTGATTGTTGTGGTTTTTTTCAGATCCTGAGAAACAATTGCAATGTAAGAAAGGACCTTTTAGAAACTACACATCCAGATTGCTGCATAGGGAATTTAAATCTGGAAAGTATTAAAAACTGTGTGTCTAAAAATAACTAATAAACAGATAAACTGTGGTTTATCTTCCTTTTTAGCACGAAATAAGTGAAAGTTTTGTAGGTAATGACTGTTTCAGGATATGACTGTAATGACTGTTTCTGTCAATATTGACAGCCTAAAATTGTCATGTTTAAATTAAGATTCTAATGGACTTTGCTAAATTGGGTACTTGTTCTTCACTTTTAATTTGCATCAGGTGAAAGGTCCTTATTGGAATTGTAAAGTTTCAGTCTCCCAGTGGGTAGCTCAAGGAGGTGCTCTTCATCTACAGCTGAGTGTCCACAGATAAGAAAGTTACAGATTTCTAGAAGTGTGTTTCTGTCAGGTCATTCTCCCTCATCATTCCAGAGAGTGACAGGTGAAAAAAATACCCTGTGTATGTTAGATCCCTGTTGATGAAAACTTATTTAATGCTTTAAAATAAAATAATCTGACCAGCCCAGGGTCTTGTTGAGTGCTGCCCATCTTTTTGAAAGATTATCATGATTTAGCTGGGAGTTATGAAAATTTAAGTCCTTTCCTAGTGGATTATTAGGGGGTTAAGTCACATGAAGGGGGGGGGGGGGAAAACCCA